GGGGCCGCGCGGGCCGGCGGACACAGCCCCGCTCCTCCGCAGGTGCGCGGCGCCGAGGGCGAGGCGGGCGACGCCGAGGACCCGGCCCTGCAGCCCGCGGCCAAGAAGGTGAAGCTGGAGCTGAAGGAGCGGAAGGAGAAGAAGCACAAGGTGGACGAGGACGAGATCCAGAAGATGCAGTGAGTGCCGGGCTGCCCGCGGCACAGCCGGCTCCCAGCGAGGCGCCCGGCCGCCTGCCTTGCAAATCCCACCGCCTCTGGAGCAGCWTTTCCCTGCCTGGCTCTCCCCTGTACAAGAGATTTTTACAGGACAGTGTCAGGAGATGGGGGAATCTCATGCTTTTTTTTTTTTTCCTCCCCTTTTCCTCCCTTTTCCGCACCTCAGGATACTGGTGTCGTCCTTCTCCGAAGAGCAGCTGAATCGCTACGAGATGTACCGCCGCTCCGCCTTCCCCAAGGCCGCCATCAAGCGGGTAGGGCTTTGCAAGGGCCTTAGTGCGGGGAGAGCGACGGGCACAGGCGGCCGGGCTGCGGGAGCCGGCTCTGCCGCACGCACAGGCCACAGGTCCCTGCTTGTCGCGGCCAAGACCCTCGTCCTCCCCTCAGCTCCCCTGCTTGGGTCCCAGGCCGCTGAATCAGCAGCGTTTGTGCGGTTCGGAGGGAGATCTCTGTGTATAGGGGACGTGGGGCAACACGTCCAAGTCATTTTGCTCGTGCTGCACGTTCAAGTGTCTCCTCTCTGCTTGTCAAGCTGATCCAGTCGATCACTGGCACCTCGGTGTCTCAGAACGTGGTTATCGCCATGTCCGGCATCTCCAAGGTCTTCGTTGGAGAGGTGGTGGAGGAAGGTAAGGGGAGGAAGGTGGTGGTGGAAGGGGTCGGCAAAGTTAGAAATCCAACAGTAAATTATAGCCAAAATCAAGTAGAAGGTTATGAAACAAGACTGAGAATTGTGCTTGTTGCCAGTCCAGTACTGCTGCCTAACAGACTGTCCTGCAAGAGCTTCTCAGACTTTAATCGTGTTAATAATTATCACATTAATATTACTGCCTGTGTGCCACTAAAGCAGAGGCTGGGGCTCCTGCCTTTATCTCCTCACATGACGATAACCTTCTTGCCACACGAATCCCAGCAGGACAGGCAAGATCTTTTGCTAATAATGCTGGGGAGAACAAATTCAGCTTGGAAGGGCCTTTTASGCCTCTCACCTGTAAGACTTACACTCTAAGCACTAAGCTGAGCTCTGTTGTGGGATATCCTGGAGAAGCCTGATCCAGTTCAAACCAGTGCGGACTTGTGCACAACTCAYGGTCTCTGCAGGCCGGGATTATCTCATCCAGGCTGGTGGAGGCTGGTGGGTTCCCTGCTGAGCTCCCCGTGGCACCGGGGCCAGGTTGGATGGGCAGTTTCACTGCTCGCCTGAACTGCCTCACATCCTTGGCAGGAGGTGGAAATGAGGCCTCCCTGCGTGCTGGGARGGGAACTGGCCTGCAGGTCCATTGGAATCGGTACCTTCCTGCAGCTGTGCATGCAGTGAGCTCCCACCAAGCTCAGGATGGTCCTGCGGGGGGAGGCTGGCCCAGCTCAGCTGTCCTGCTCACACCAGCTCCGGTTTCTCGTTTAGCCCTGGACGTGTGTGAGAAGTGGGGAGAGCTGCCACCTCTGCAGCCCAAGCACATGCGCGAGGCCGTGCGGAGGCTCAAGTCACGGGGACAGATYCCCAACTCCAAATACAAGAAAATCATCTTCCACTGAAGCGTCTCGAAGGCAGAAGATAAAACGAGTGCCCGGCTGGGCACTGTAACCTCGAGAGCTGCAGCAGAGCTGTGAGCTTCAGGCCCCGCCAGCCTCTCCTGTTCCTACCTAGACTGTTCTCCAAGGACCTACAGGACAACAAACCTTGATGCTGAAGCTGCCTCAGTTCAGCTCTGTTCTACGGACGGGACTTGTTTTTGGGTTCCAAAACGTGGCCATCGCTACTCTTGGCTGCTAGGTCGGAGTGCTGGGGCTGAAGGCCAGTGTGGCTCTGCAGCGGGGCTGCAGTTGCGGCACGGAGGCCGTGAACATTCTGCAGAGACTCTCATTTCAGCAATCCTGGCGGAGCTTCCCCATGCCACACGGGAGCAGGAGCCGCCAGGCCTGGGCCTCAGGTCCAGCTCCTGCTCCCCAGGGGAGGGACAGAATGTCGAGGTCTTCAGCGTTTTCACGCGCCAGGACAATGCTTCCTGCAGCCGCAGGGGCAGTGGTGTCTGGGTACACAAGTGTCTTTTTGTACATTAAACTTGTTACTCTTTTCCCAGTMTTGCTGAGCTGCAAACAGCTTCTTTCTCCCGGGAGAAAGCAAGGCAGTAGTGAGTGTGTAGTGGGCCTTGTGTGACTGCCAGGAGGGAGAGGCCAGCTGAGGATCTGTCTCAGCCATGCCACAAGGGTCGGGCCGCTCCGCTGCGGCTCCCACGAGCCAGGCAGCAGGAAGSGGCTGCTGACAACGGCACGCGGAGTTGTCCGGAAAACACCGGGAAAGGAAGGAGGCAGGCACCACGAAGGAGGTTAACAAGTTTAATTCTCCGTGGTTCATAGAACCAGTAAATGCATGAGTGGAAATATCACACTGCAACAACGTTCAATACTGCCTAAGACTCGGGTTCAAACTTGTGCACTGCCCCCCACACCGTAGAGCAGTCCCTGCTGAGCTTCTGCTGAGGCCGGGTGCTCTCCCCAGGGTAACTGTGTCACAGCTACACCAAGGATTAAGKTGACCTCTCTTCATAACACAGAAAGAGTCCTTAAATAAAAGGCTTTAAAAAGTAAACTTTGCTATTCAGTCAAGACACGGGAGTTTTTGTGCCCCCTATTCCACATATATACACCCTGTAGAAAGGAAATAGTTTTCTTTTTCCAGTTCTTACTAGTTATTCAAGAAATAAAAAGTGGAAGTAGTTTAATTTTTCTTAAAAGAGAACAGGTTGACTAGAGTTGCTGGAGCAAGAGAGTAGCTGTAAGGAAGTGTGCCCCAGCTCTGCTCRGGCTCCACGCGGCGAGGGAGAGGGAAGGAGGTCACAGGGCTCTGCAACACCAGGCAGCAACATCCCTCTCCCCACTGCCTTCCCAGGCTGCCCGTACGGGAGTGTTTAAGCAGGTGTCAAGCCTAAGTCATGGAATATCCCCTGTTTTCGAGCAGTCAGGTCCATTTCATTCCACCTACGGCATGTGTTCTTACACCTCTTGCTTCACAGCGGAAGGGGAGCAAGCAGAGCAGCACCCAGGGCTGGAGCTCCACTTAGGGGGGTTTGTGCACTTCACAAGGGTGTTAGTCACAATGAGATGTTTGCACATGAGTTTGCTTCAAAGCACATGTGTGGGCACACAGGTGCCTTGTGCCCTCCTTTCTTACTCTAGAAACTGTTCACAGCACTTGAGYGTCATCTTTACCTCTCGAGGTAACTTCAACCCCTGCTTTTACTTCTGAATTCTGCTCTGCATGAGGCAATAGTGGTGAAGGAAATGCCCGCTGATGCTTGAAAGTTAAAGTGCATTTTCCTCTGGCGAGCAGCCCTGACAGGCTGCTCTAGTGCATTTTCCATCGCAGACAGTAACACAAATTGGTCCTGGCAAGGCTGGCATGCGAGGGTGAGTCCTAGGGGATGCTCCAGAGAAAACAAGGAGGGATCCTGATCCTTCGCTGCAGAGGAACASAAACTCACACACGTCACAGCATCACGAGCAGCAGCCCTAGCCAGACCAGGCAGTGGCGAGGACGAGCACACGGCCACAGGCAAATATTCCTCCCCGCCTGCCCCTTCCAGAAGGAAGGCTGGACTTCAGMGGCCGCTGTCACATCCCATTTCAGGCTCAGCTCAGTCGCATCTTGGCAGACAGAGATGKCCAAACGCCGGCCGCCGCGAGCCCCGGCTGCCCGGGCGCTCTGGTCACAGCGRGGGCACGAGGGCTCGTCCAGCGAGCGGCACTCACGGCCACCTTCGGTCTCGCGGATTCAAACACCGAGTTAAGATGAACAGTGACGTTTTGGTCTCCCTTTGTCTCTCTCCTATTCTCTCGCCTGCCCTCTTCTGCCAGGAACTGATTTTTGGCTCTTCGTAAGCCACAGATCACCAGCATCTCCAACTSTAACCCAGCGGCTAAAGAGACTCCCCGGAGGGCTAAAGAGCTAAAATGATCCCGGCAGGCTCCGTTAACGGGAAGTGCTCAGCAGCTCCAGAGCCGGGCACAGGGACAAGGGCAGAGGAGCACAGTGGGAAATGCAAATCCAGCTGGTTGCTTTCTTTTGTTAGCCCCAGACCTCAACTCATCGTGGCTTGTAAATCAGRGGCTGCTCCTTAGAGGGCCCGCAGGACTCAAAGCTGATGTTATTTTAGCTAAACTAATTTCAGAGGACTAATGCTCAAGTAGAAAAAAATAGAAAAAAAAAAATCAGTTTAAGGGTTTGGGTGTAGTGTGTTCAGCTAAGAAAAAAAGGCATTGCTTAACTCTTATAGAAGGTGGAGTTCTCAACTGATAAAGAAAAAAAAATCCCATGCAAGCTTTTTGCTAGCACTCGGTGTGAGGCAATCACTACTTTGTTTTACATGCAGTGAAAAGCATGTGCATTAGAAATGGTATGTTCAAACAAACACAAACCACATCTGGAAAAAATCCCACTCAAAGTCTGAAATATCTTCAAAACCCCACGAGCTCCACACACGGTGGAGATGCTGGGTGTGACAGGGAAGGAACAGGCTCTTATCCCTAACACAGAGGGGCCCAGACTCRCACCCTCTGGTATCAAAGACAAAGCAAATTCTTTTGTAACAGCTTCTCCCTTCACCACTGCCCCTTACTGCAGTGACATGTCGGTGTCCTTGTCCTGTACCTGGACCAGGAGTGGGTTCAATTCTTGCACGACAGGCAATTCCATCCTACCCCTCGACTTAACCAACCTATTTGACTCCTGGTCTTGGACTGCAAAATTAAAGAAAGTCTGAATATTCCTTTGTAATGAAATCATGAATTCCTTTTATGCTTTACCACCAGTAAAGCCAAATTTTATGGGCTTGAGAATGAACCAGACTAAGGCTAATATACTACTGATTCTGTCCTGACAGACAAATACTGGTAGGAAAAGAAACCTGAAGGAATCTCTTTTACTCTCCTGGCCCTGCTATGGAGGAAGTAATCAGACCTAGCCCCTTCCACCAGGCAGCAATCCCTCCCACACTCGCTGACTCCCTAAGTTTCCATTTTCACGCAGCACCACATGCATTTGCACTTCAGCAGTTCTGAGCAGCAATCTGCCATATCTATCGCTCCTTGATGCAGTAAGTTAACCACGCTCCTTTTGCCATGCTCTTTGGCATGTGCGATTGGGCAAGAACACAAAAAGGAAGAAAAAAAGCAGCAGAACCACCCCCCACCAAGCACCTCCAGGTGAAAGTGAAGCAGAGATGCTCGAGGCTGCCAGCAGGCTGTCCATGTGACTCTGCAGATGAAGAAACACTGGTCCCCCCCGCAGCTCCTGACCTCTCGTTTGCAGACGGAGCACTGCCCTGGTTCGGTGGCAGCCGGTAGCACCATATTGCCAGGACACAGTCAAGTGGCTGCAAGTTGGTAGCTCCTTCTCATTCCCTCTCCCCTGTCGCCCAGTCCAGCCAGGCCTTCCTTCGCTTCTCCCTCCTTCGAGTTTATTTTACAAACACAGTTGGTTTCCACCCTTTGAGGGCATCAGCCAAACTAGCCGCCTTGGTGCTGGTGGTGGTCTCCACTCCTCCCGAGCTGCTGCGGCCTGGCCCTTCGCTGTCAGAGCTGGAAGAGGGGATTGTACTTCCTAATTTCCTGCAGCAGCCGGGCCTTGTCCATGTTGGCTTCTGCAAGGGCTATTTTCATGCTCTGCAGCTCCCTTTGCAGCTCTGGCACTTCCTTCAACTACAAGAGACAAAACAGAGGAAAAGAAACAGCGAGTCCCCAAAGGTTCTTGCAAGGCAGATCTGACTGCACTGATCTGCTCCAAGAGAACCAGAGAAGGAGCTTTGCTGTGTGCCATGACCACACAAAACTCGCTGGCAAGATGACCCAATTTGATTTGAGGGAGGGTAAATATATACCCATACACAGAGAGCAGGATAAAAACTGGCTCTGTTCTGCATTCCCTCTCATTTACAGGGTTAGGATACATCTGTTCAGATTTAAAATTAAACCAATTCCTGGAGCAAGCAGGTACCTGGCACGCTTATTTCTTGTCTCCATGATCAAAGTTAATTTTATTCTCAAACACTGCCAATAGGCCTGCACTGTGGCTTCATAGCACAGGAGACTGTTTTCCTTGGGCTCTCAGGAATCTTTTCCCTCAATAACTTAGTCTTTGCACATGTTCCTATAAAATTTCCAGAGGAAATTAAGCTGATGACAAGACACTGTAATGCCTGTGTGTTCCTGTTCTAATTAGGGCCCTGGTACATGAGATGCTAAAAATACTGCAAAGATTTTGTCTTCAGCCTATGTGGAAAAGAGAAAGATGAGAAAATGCCAAGAGTCCAAGGTCACCAACTCATGAATAGAATCCAAGTCCCTGTTCAGTTTATCTGGCATGTCCCATTGCTTCCTTAATCTGTAATTTTCCATAGCAAGGGATCAATCGGAATTCCAGGTAGAGAGATCAAAGTGAAAAGAAAGTTCACAGTGAACAGCAGGAGCTTTGTGCGACCTGGAACTCTTCCCAGCTGTCAGACTCCCTTTGTTTTGCCTAAAGATCTCTCTTTTTGCAGGAACAGTCTCATTTTTGTTCTTCTAAAGAGGAACTGGACAGAGTGGGGAAAAAGGAGCTGGTCAGAAAAGCAATGTATTTCTGAAAGGGACCAGATGATGCTGGGCAGGGCATGAGCTGGCCTTAGTTTTGGGAATCACCGGAGAAGGAGGTGCAGGCTGCTGCTGCTCCCTATCTGCAACCCACCACACCTACCCATGACTGCAAACACACGGAGACAATAGACCATTTTCCAGGCTCCTGCCAGGTCCCTAGTTGTCTAGACAGCAACAGGCAGCTGTGACTCACCTGCAATCCACAGATCCCTCCTGCTGGGACACTCTCTGCCGGGACTGTCTGTTCCTTAAAAGCTGACACAGGTTTTTCCTGTTCGGGTGAGCCCTTCCCTTGTGGCGCTTGAAAGAAGCATAGAAAATATTCAGGTAAGGATATTTATACATCAGGGTGCTTTGGACAAAAAAGAGTAAACCATTATCTCTATTTTTTTAACTATTTTTTTTTAAACAGGGAAAAATCTGTATTCCATTTCAAAGGGATGGAAAGCAGGGAAAAGGAAAGCAAGGAGGCAGGGAGCCTGTCCTTGTCGGCAGCGACCTTCACCTCTCACTTGGCTTTCTGCAGCCGCGGACACAGCAGAGCTTTCTGCCCCAGTAAAGCACCCAGGGAGAACAGCACAGCACCCTGACACTGCTGACCTGTTAGAGAGAAAACCCCATCGTCTCCGCGCTTCACAATGACGTGATCCACGGCCAAGGTGATGGGAACGGGGCCGGGCGAGGTAGGGTAGACCTGGGGGCTGTCATCCTAGGAAAAAACAAAGCAGAAAAACAGATGAACTACTGTGACAGCCCTGGCAACTCTGCAAAAGATTCCCCTTGCCCTTGGCCATTGCAGGAGGAACATTAGCACGGCCAGCACTGCCAAAGTCACCCAGCGGATGGAAAACCCGGCTTCACAGGGCTCCACAGGGCTCTTCATTCCTGTACAAGATCCTCTCACTGGTTAGAGCAGAGTTCTGTGGCATTCCTAAAAAGGCCGGGCACATTCCTACCATCTCCCCAGAGACAACCTCTCACAGCCACCCTCCTGCAAATTCTGGTTCAAATCCCCAACAAAATCAATCCACTATCCCCCAGCTCGAAGATTTTCATGCTGCTCCGCAGCAACACTGGCTCCTGTTTCTCAGCAGAGACATCACCTTGCTTTCAAAATGGTTTGTCAAGGATTGCCAGTGACCCTCTCCTAAACATCAACCAACTCTTACATGCTTTTCATTCATAGTTCTCAAAACACTCAGAGAAGATCAAGTATTTCCCATGTTACACCAACAGATGGGGCAAAACATACTTATTTCTTTTCTCCTCAAGTCTGCTAAGCGGGCCCATCAACAAAGCTAGGCAAACCAGACCCAACAATATTAGCTCTCAATAATTCTTCCACATCGTTTTTTTTTTCCCATAAGGTACTTTTTAACACCAAAATAAAAGGCAATCAGGAAAACAGCTTATTTGCCAAGACCCTGAGCAACTCAACCGAATCCTTTCCCAAGAAAGATCTTGCATGCAAGCTCTGCCTAGGATACCACCTTGGTTCCCCAAACACTCACCTTCAGTGTGATTTTGGTGTTCACAATTTCTATCTCCATGGGCATCACCTCTGGGATGACTTCATCCTCAAGAAAGGGGCCAAGGTTAGAGAGGGAGGACATGAAGAGCTCTGCTGCGTAGCTGTGGACCAGCATGTGAAGGAAGCCATTCTGAACAGCGAGCGGCGAGCGCACGGCGGCGCTGGGTCCCACGTCTAGGCGCACGCACACTTCTGGCTGGGTCTTACCAGCTTCAGGCGCTGAAGGCTTCTCCGCATCTGCATCTCCTAGAGTTACAGCAGAGAGATCTCATTGCAGAGGGCAGCATCAGTACTGAAGACAAACAAGATCTGAGTGTTGTAAAGCCCTTTACTGTCCAGCTGCAGAATGGAACCAGGTTGGCACTGCCAGGAGCCTGAAGCTGTTCTTCACAGTGAGTCCAGGATTCAAAAGACTGAGTCCACATCACAGGAACTAAACAGTTTAAGTCCCCAGATCTATTCCTCTCTCTCTCTTACCATCTCAAAACATCTTAAAACTTATCCTAATTTTGCATTTATATCGGTTCACCAGAAACCCACCACTCAGGTCTCCAAAAATCATACGCGTCTTTCCGCTGCCACCTCAGCCCTCCGTAATTTTATTTTCCTTTGCCCCCTCGTGGCTGCAGGGAGTACTGTTAAAGAGAAGCACCAACATTTGAGGAACTCCTGCCCATGCTTTCACATGAAGTTTTGGATTGTAGTTGCTTTTGGTATCTACTTAATCCCAATTAAATTCTAAATATTTGCATTAGATGTGAACACCAAAATGCCAGTTAAAATGAAAGATTTCCTAAAAAAGGCCAGGACCAAGTGCAGTTATAATAGGCAGCAGGCTCCCAGAGCGACCGTCTTACCCAGATAGCCGCACAGATATTGCCACATCCCGACGTTGTTGAGCTGCTCTGGAACCACCTCCGTGACTTGTAAAGCGACAGACAAATCATCATCTCTTGCCTCTATCCCACAGTTCACCTGATTCATCTTCAGCACAAGGACAGACACCTGAAACAGCCATTGACAAACTCACTTGTTAAAACAGCACCACATGATGCACTTCAAGATTCACTCAGAGACAAAATTACAGGGAAAAGGAACAAAACTGACCAGTTGAAGGCTGGGGTCTTCTGCACTCTGTGAAGTGGAGCTATTTATTTCAGGAGACGCTCTGCTGTCATCCTCTGCCATGGGGCTTCCTCTGCTGCCCGTGTCGTTGTGCACCTGAGGGAGATGTACCGAGGAAAGAGGATCCAGGCTGGGTTCTGAAGTGACAGTAAAAAATAAAAATAAATTAAAAAGAAATCCCTTAGTTTTATTTCTTTATCATGTTTTAAAAAGTCCTGATATTTGCCTGAATCTCTTGGCCTAATCACTCTATACCAGCCTCCTCCAAACTCTCCAGCTCCGGAGACAGATTTAAGCAGTACAGACCTTAAGTGAACGTGGCACCTGCAGTGCTGAATGCATCTCGCTTCAATCCACCTCTCACTGCGTCGTTCCCCAATGCTTTGGGCCATCCACCCACCTGCACACGGCTACACTCCTTGCTTGAGGACAGCAGATGCCTTAGAACGGCATCAAGAATGGGGTGACCCCATTCCACTTCCTCATGTCAAAAAGGACACCTCAAAAACAAGAGGGCACCCCGGGAATGGAACCATTTACGACATCTGGAAAGGATGAGCGGTGCAGGCGACATCCAGGTGAACGCGGCGCGGACGCGAAGCCACGGTGGGAGAGGTGGCAGCCCCGAGTGCTGGTTACCAGAGTCCGTGAGCATCACGAAGCCGTCGCTGCCATCGCTGTCCACAGAGAGCCCGTCCTCGGGGCCGCTGCCGTCCACAGACGTGGTGTCAAACGAATGTTGGGACGTCGTCCTCTTCATGGAGAAGAAGCGCATCCGGCTGCTGCCGCTCCCGCCGGGAGTCACTGCTCCCTCTTCTGCTTTCGGCACTGCATCCCTGCAAAAACCCACGGGGAAACCAGCTTAACCACTAAACTACACAGGTATTACCCTGAGACAGGCTGCAGTGTATTAAATTACCCCAAACAGATCAATGTCTAATCTATGCTTAAGATCCTCTCCAAAGTGAGACCCCAGAGCCTCTCGAGGCCGCTTGCTTCAGTTGCTTCTGGAAAAGACTCCAAAGCACCAACTGCTTCACAAGAAGAGGGACCGCCAGCATTGACCAGCCTGGGCTTGTCCTAAACTGGCAACTCTGTGCATCACTACCACGTAACTGAAATAGCTGCACTGCTCCCCACACCCAATTACTGCGTGGGGCTCAATAAAAGATACTCACATACCAAGGATTTCAAAGCAAGTTACTAAGAAAACTGCTGTGCAGTTGTCAGTTAGCTGTAAACATCAGGTCACTGGCATTTGAACTAACAACTTGGAAATAACAGGAATTTCCCCAGGCTCCCAGGGCCAAAATCTCCTAGTGCTGGTACAAAGCAAACTTCAGGTCCCACAGCAAGCCGAGGAGAGGTTTTGTTTTAGCAGTAAAAGGTGACAATCTGTGGGGTGTGCAGGATCTGTGACCCACATGACAGGGAGAGAAAGGGAGCTGCCAGCCCACACTTTGCCCCCTTGCCAGCAGCTTCATCCCACGATTTTGAAGCCCAGGAGCATGATCCACTCACTTGGTTGGTGGGAGAGAGAGCATTTTGTGCATGGTGGAGGTCACCTTCTCCCGGCTCAGGCTCAGAGCATCTTTCGTTATAGACATGGCTTCTTTGGTGAGGTCCATAGTCACGTGCAAGGCTTCCTTAGTGGCATCCTTTGTGATATGCAACGCACTAGACAGCTCCACCTCCAGGTTTTTTAATGGGATGAGCTCAGCCTGGCCATTGAGAGCGACGCTGCCTCTCCTCAAGGGCTGCACATCGGAGGTCGGGCTGGACGGGAGGGCAGGAGGGCTCTGAGGCTGCTCACTGGACTCTGCTGCTCCTTCTGCCACCAGCGCTTCCACAGCTTCGTGGGCTTCCTCTACCAGGCCTTTCTCCTCTGCACTCTTACTGTATGGACTTGTACCCAGAGCTCCATCACTCGTGGATCTTGGCATGCTCTCCGGCCGTGCCGCAGTGACACCTGTACCTGTATCTTCAGTCCCACTGTCTTCTGGGACCTTTGAGCTGCTGACTGCTCCCTTCTCTGAACTTGTCTCTGACTTCAGCTCCTTCTCTTCAGCTGCCAGGCCCTCCTTGCTGTCGGAGGGCGACAGCTCCGATTCCATCAGGCTTGTTGTGTCCGAGTCGAGGGATCGAGGTTCCAAGCCGGAGCCCGGCACAGGGTTCATGATTAGGGCCAGTTCGGCACTATGGAACATAACTCCGACACATGCAGACATGGGATCTAAGGGACACCCAGTCACTTCCTGTGTATCTTGAGCCAACTGCTCTTGTAATGTTTGCAAAACCTCTTTCATCCTGAGCAGCACCAAATATTGGTAGTGGTTGAGTCGAACTTTGACATGAACAGATGAGGACAAAAGCACATGGATATCAGCAGAGGACTCCAGCTCTTTATCAGCTACTCCATCATCAGTTTCATAATCGCATTCTCCCAACACGTCCATCGTCTCTGGGACCTTGTAGATGTTCTTCAGATCCTGGTCAGTCTTCGATCTCTGGCAAATCCCATGCTCCTTGGAAAGACTCTCATTCTTGCAGTGATTGCTAAAGCTGGCAGAAGGCTTGATCTTCATCTCGGAGGCAGCCAATGCCTGTCGTTTGGACATCTGAGCTTGTGCCCATCTCTTGGGAAGGCAAGCCCAAATGGAAAGGGGAAAAGAGGAAATAAAATTAATGGCTTTGCCCTTTGAGCTCTCCGCCCCCTCAAAGTCCAGGGAAAGCTCTGTGAAATTCACAGACCACAGGTCTTCAGAGGCAGAGGCTTTGTGAAATGTCTGGGAAAAGCCTGTCCTCTTCCGAGGTCTGTCATCCACTTCATAGGCATGGCGCAAGAAAAGGGTGTGGAGAAGGCTGAAGTTGTCCTGAGACCTTGGGAACTGCGAATAGTTAGAGTGGAAAAATTCCGAATTGGCAAATCTCCGGAAGAGGCTCTGGAGGTCCTGGCAGCTGCAGAAGGGAGCGTGGCGGGTGTTGGTGGCAGTCACCTGCGCCGTGCGAACACACAGCGCCCGTGGGCGGTCTCGATGCTCCGTAACTTTCTTCTCCACAGGGATGCTGAGCTACAAGGAGGACAGAAAGAAGAATTACAAATAAATGGATTTGAAGGGAAAGGAGAGAGGCCTATCCTAGCGCTTTATACAGAAGAGCAACTGTGGAAATATAGTCAACTGAGAGACTAGGAATTCTGCTACAGGCTCAACAGGTTACACTCCCAAATCATCCCCATCTTAAAAAAAATAAATAAAATGTACAAATCAAGGAAGAGAGTGAGACATGGAGGAATTTAAGTTTCAAGTTCCTTTGCATGTATAGCTTATGCAGCAGGTCAGATTTAAAACTGTACACCTGGACCCTTCTTTGCAAGGGCTCACTGTCCTCCCAGGCCTTTAGGTCTCCTCACAGAGCTGCTAACAAGGCTAACAGTGGCAAACGCAACAGGATGCCAATGATGCAAGATGCATGGCAACTAGGAACGGAATGAGAATTATAAAGTGGTCTTCAAAGGCCAGAAAGCAACTTCTGGCTAATACAGTCTTTTTTGCTAGCTGTGCAAATGCAGCCTGCAGCAGATGATGGTTTTTACGCAGCTGAACCATTAACTTCTCCTTCAAGCTCTTTTCATAAATGCTGGCTTTCCCGTCTATTCCAGGCTAGAGTTCAAGCACATGTTTTACTGCCCACAGATCAAAGCAAAAATAACCTGAGAAGCAGACGGCCTAGAAAGGTTAAGTTTCTGTTTCTCATTCTGGACTCCAGCTGCGCCCTGGTCTCATGTTCCTTCCATGCAAGGGAGGAAGAAAACACTGAGGCCTGAGGAAGGAAAGGAGCCGTACCTTCAGGCGGAAGCCATCCAGCCGAACGTCCAAGTGCTCATCGTGCTTGCCCGAGTCCTCCAGCTTGTAGATGGCTTTGAACTGCTCCAGGCTGCGATAAAGATCCAGACAGAAGAGGTTTATCCAGAGCACACTCGCTGTATCCAGGGTGAGCGTCAGGCCGTTCAGCTGCGCGTACAGGTTCGGGCACGGAACTAGAACAAACAAGATCAGAGCAGATCGTTAAGAGCAGCAGAGGTGCTTCAAATGCTCTGGAGGTCAGTGTGAAACCCGTGTCACCAACACCAAAGCAGAGGCTTCGGCACTCGCTGCAAGACAAACCTCTTGATCAAAGGAAGAGGCTGAGGTGCAGCACTGAAGTGGCACGTTCCTGTTCTCCCATCAGATCAGCTGCAGAGCACCCAGTCAATGGGTGAAGCAGAACCCCAGGCTTGTGCAGACGTAACAGACTTTCCAGTATGATCCTGGGCAAGTTATTTTTCAAGCAAAATTTCACCCACATGTTTTGCACCAGGGATCTATCTTGGTTTCCCGAAGGAAAACAATAAATATCGTTTCCCAAAGGAAAACGATAAATATTTTTTAAACATCAGGAACATGGGAAGAAATATCCCCTCCAGAGAAATTCTAAGAGGGTTAGCACACCTAAAGAATTAAGAGTAGAATGATTCTTTAAGAGCTTGTGAAAGAAAGTGCTAACCTTGGTATATTACCTGGAAAGTCCTGATTGTCTGGGAAGTAATACTCTGTGAACTCGATATGGATCGCAGAGACCTGATCTGGAAGATTGAGGAATTTTCTGCTACATGACAGCAAGGTGGAAGGTTTCTTACTGTGTTGACCAGCTGTAGAAACCTGCAAATGAAGCGGGAAGCAGCTGTGCTAAATTCGGATTCGGCAAAACAAATGTCCCAGTGACCCTGCAGTCTCCCACCTTCAACTGATCTCATTTACACAAATATACTCTGTATACAAGAGAAAACAAAACTTTTCCTACATGTTAATATCTTCATCGTCTTCCTTTGGAGGGAATTTGGTTCTTTATATCTCCCATAGCTACTAGTTAAAGCCCTGACAATCAGAATTAGGGGATGTGAATAAACAGAACTGAAATCTATTTTAGCTTTCTTCAGGATTAACTACACGTTGCTAAATCCATTATAGTGCCTGGTACAGTTATCCTCTTATGAGGAATACAGGATGTATTAACAGAGGGTGTGATCCAGTCCAGTGATCCTTTCTCTCCTGGGTCAAAAAGTATAAGGGAAGACTTACTGATCCACTTAATTTTTCAAATGAACAAGTCTTATTGTGAGCTTGCCTTATGCTTCATGAAAGTTTAGATGTGAACAGGCAGGCACATAGCTTGGGATTCTGCAGAAACTCTGAGGTTACACGTTCATTCCTGGTTTAAAAGTTATATATGCAACAAAATTCTGGTTCTGGTTGCAAAATTTTGTTTGGCTTGGACAACATGAGGTTTGCATGACTGATTTCCATTGTATCAGGATAAATGATTACTCAAAAAAGACATGAACAAGGGACTGGAGCTCATTTCCAGACACTACCTGGTGAACGTCTAGGTCATCTACTCGGACTACCACACAGCTCGATCGAAGGCGGTTCCAGGAAGGGTGCCGCAGTTGTGGCAAGCTGGAGGGAGGGACCCGGCCTTTCTCTGAGGGACTTTTATGAGGACTCGAGGTATCTGCGGGAAAAATGGAAAGAGAACAAGTTCCTCAGCCAGGCTTTTGGTATCTTCAAGCATTTTTTTACTCATTTCACACCTGCTGGTATAAAAATTCAGTAAACAAGCTAGGAAAGTGACTCCTGCAATCTGCCCATTCTCCCTGCATTGTCATTCTGGTGTAATATGCACTTTACACTGTCATTGAATTCACACTGTTTAGTGTGCTAGAGATTTCTGCACCATTAAATTAACCTGCCAAGTTGGTGAAATGGAACTAGAGACACTGATAGATGGAACAAAGTTACTGCCATCTTCTGCTTTACTAGGAATTTTAGTCATAGTTACCTGGTTTCTTTTTGAAGGGAGAAAGTGGAGTCCTGGTAAAGGCAGGGTCCATTTCTTCATAATGCTTCTCAATCTTGCTTTGAAATTCATTGACCAACTTTTTTGCCCACTGTCCCCGGGTTTCCATGGCCTCGCTGTACCTCACCCAGTGCTTGCAGGCATCTCCTGCATGAAAACAAACATCCTGGCTTTCAAATGAGCTCCTGGATGTAGGTAATCCTGCTGTTCCCCTCAAAATATGTAAACCTGCAGAGCCTTTCCTTCCATTGACTCCCTAATTCTGGAACATGCAATATTCAGCACACTAAGTGCTCTTGAAGCAAGAGCAGGCTTCCACCTAGCAGCTGCCCCGTCAGCTTTTCTTTATTCTTCAGTTAACATCAAACAGATTTTCTCCTGGGATACCTCCTATAACCTTTTCAAACTGACTAGGCACATGTAAGAACCAGATCCAACACTTACACAACCGAAAACAGATCCAAAGATTTAACTTTATGGCTTTACAGCAGATAGTCTGTTCCTTGGTTTGCACTTTATTCTGCCATCAGGTTAAACCTGGTTAAACCCACTTCATCTATAAAGAGGTAAATTAGATTAACTCTGCCCGAGAGGATTTAAATCAAATCCTTTGCGCAGCCTTTCTTCCAAAGCTCCTCCAAGGCACATAGCATCATTGTTCTCTAAATTCTCTTTTAATCTCCCTTCCCAAGTGCGGAGACACTCCCTTACCTGCCCTGTGGAAAGGGTAATAGTCAAAGGCCATTCTCCTGAATGTCAGCTGTATCGCTCCGCCCAGCATCCCGTGCTTCAGAGCGCCTGGGGAGAGCAGAAAGAACAAAAGCCTCAACATCCCGACCCAGGAGAATTCAGATCTGCCACGTGATTGCCACCTTGGCCAGCATTATTGGCCAGTATTTTCTTTTCAAAAGCCGTACCAGAATCTCGTCCTAGACAACAGAACAAAGCTGTTTATACTGAGACCTAGAATCTCAAAGACCAAACTTCCCAGGCTCCTATCAATTACGCTTTTCACTACCATAAACAGCACTGATGAGATAAAGACAGCAAAATTGTGCCGAGATGCTTAAAAAAAAACAGCTCAGGAGAAGATGCAGGCAGCAAACAGAAAGTAAAGCCTATGATAGTGATGGGTGCGGGCAGGGGAATTAAGGTCTTTTTTTAAGGCAGACTTTTAGGAAGAAACACTAGAGATCGGTGTGAACTGAAGGAGACAGAGAAAAGAAGAAAGGTACCTTTACCTCAAAAGACGGAAAAACTAATTAAAGTATTCTCCAGTAGAGGGCGGGGCTGTGTGTAATACAATTACTTAATTATAAAGACACAAACAGCAGGCAGGAAAATGGTCTGTCACAGGCGTCAAAAACCCTTGTTTAGGCCATTCCTAATCAAAGAATGTAACCACGTGCTTACACTGTCAAGTGCTGTGTTTCCTCACCAAAGGAAGCGATCTCTTCAATCATGTCTTATCTCATTGCTCAAAACCAGATTGATCCTAGAGCACGTCCTTCAACGCCTCATCTCAGCCACAGTTATTATTTCCACTGATGGACTAACCCACATTTGTTCCAGAGAGTCAAGAAGGATTTTCCAGTTCCTAACTCCACACATAGAACTAATGTCTCCATCAGCTTTATAAGGCTTCCATTACCTCCCTAGAATCAGTGACACAGAAGATATTTGCTTTCCACATGAAAATCCTCCCTCAAGAGGGAAAAGAAAAAAAAATCTGGATTAATTTCTTCCTCCTGCCATCCTGATACTGCTCTCAGGAAGGTACCTGACTCCCGAGTGTGGCTATCATCACAGATGTGCAGGTCCAGGCGCGAGATGAGGAGGTGGTACGATGACTCCTTCATATCATGTTTATCAAAGTATTGGCCAATGCTACTTGCACTTGGGCTCACTCCAAATGACTGCGACCAGGACTGCTGAGCACTTGGAGCCGGCGGTGTTATCTATTAGAGAGAACCGAGCTGGGTAAGTACTAAGAGAAAGCAAAAAAAAATTAGAAAAAAAGTGATTATGATGCAGTTGAAAATAACCTGTGTAATTCTCCAAATTGAAAGGTATCTGTCTAAAAATATCTGATAATTTCCATATGACAGCCCCATCTGAAAAAAACATCATGTTTTTTACTACTCCTTGACAGAACCTATTCTGTGCTATTTAAGAATGTTCTTTAACCCACATTGGAAACGCACCCAGCTCCCCTGGTCGTTCCCTGACCCAGCACCAGGCAAGTCCACCACTTTCCATCAGGGAGAAGTTCTGTGCACAAGGGCCAGGTGACACAAATACAGACCTGCTCTTCCAATTTGTCCTTTCCTTTTTCTTTTTCTGGCAGGCTCACATCTAAATCTTGGTTCACTGACCTGCGCAGACTCTGGTGCCAGGCTTTTCCTCTGCTGAGCAGACTTTTCCATGGCTTCACTCAAAGACTCTGCATACTTCATCATTGCTTTCAGCTGAGAGTCTGTCAACACCCACAGCAGGTCATCAAGGAGAAACATCAGCTTAGAGGCCACCACATTGCAATCTTTGGTCTGAAACAGCAAGGGAGATGGAGGGACTTCAAGAAATTGCAATCATTTACATATATTCCTCATCACATAAGCTTAGCAGAAACAAGCTGCTGCTCTGAAACGCAGCTGAGAAGTTTGTTCATATGGTGGATGTCCATAGCTCTGAGAAACAAGCTGGTCAAAGCTGCCTCCTCTTTAGGAGGCAAGCTGCTCAGTGCTCAAAAAAAACCAAGATATGAGATGGATGATTTTTTTGCATCTGCTCTTCCATCTTATTTCTAGCTGCCAGTGAAAATGTGCTTACCAGGCTTCAAGTTCTAAATACAAAAATTAAATGACAGCTCTCCTTGCGATGTAACAACAGATTTTAAAACTTGCTCCATACATGCTGTCCTTCCCTGAGGGACAAACTGCTTTGACATTTGATAAGTACACAGCTGTTTCCAGCAGAAAACACAAAGATTTAGGGCAGCTCGGGCTCAGCTTTTGTGAAGGAAAAGTGCCGTTGCCGAGGACCGCGGAAGGGAATGTGCATCAGCGTTGCATCATACGGCGAGGCTGTATCCTGGGAAGTGCAAGGGAAACACTCACCCTTCTCTTGAGGGAGATCTGGATCCTCCCTTGGTTGGTAATGAGTCTCAGAGGAGTAGTAACAGGATCCTGATCCCCATTGTCACTGGCATCTGCCTCTATCCGAAGCGTCTGCCAGGTGAGCTCTTTGAATGTCAAAACCTATTCAGACAGAGAAAAATAGGAAAACATGGAGATGTTCATCAACTTCAAGGATTAACTGCAGCTCTAGAAGATTAGGAATTAAACAGGACTATGGAGAATCTTTTAAACACACTTTTCTAGGATCCTAGCACAAAAGGAAGTCATTTCCCAAGCAACATCTAAGCCTCTCTCCCCTATACCGAAGAGTTCAAAAACAGCCAAACCCCACAGGCATCCAGGGCTTCATTTTCCAGGACTAGAGGGGCCCAGAGAAAGCTCTGGCTGCAAGGGAGCTCTCAGGCACTCTGGACCAGGACGCGGGAGACGTGCGCACCGCAGCTCGCCGCAGACACAGGGTGGGAATTGGGCAGGTCTCCACTCCAGCCGAGCCCTGGGGAAGCCCAGGGCTCTTCTCTGTGCACAAGGAGACGACACAAGAGCGTTTTACCTCTCCTCTCTGCGGGTCTGTGATGCGCGTGAGCCGCAAGTCGCTCTGCTGCCAGTTTGGGTTGACGCTGTAGCCTTGGAGCTGCCATAGCTCGAAAGAGGCATGAAAGGCCTTGGAGTGAATCTTGATGGTGATGGAATTGACGACAATGAACATCCCCTCCACAACCTTCTCAGCAAAGCCATACTCACTGCAAAGAGAAGACCCCTCAAAATCATTAGTATCAGAACCACTTAGAACTGAATCCAGAGAAGTGAGAGGTTGACTGGTGAGAAAAACAGCCCCCCATGTCCCAGCACCGCGGCAGGGAAAAATCCCAGGGTTTGGGGTGCTGACCTTTGACCTGCAGCAAGGGCAATGGGGGACTGTCCGTTGGGCGGCCGAGGCTCTTCACATGTTCGCATCTCCACCTCCACTTTATCCAGGTACTGTCAAGAAAGAACACGGGGGCAATAACAATAAGCCTAAGCCTCAAGTTCAGCCTAACAGCCTTAGGTCTGCGCCATGAGCCCATGAATAACCAAGCTCGGGAACCTCGTGAGACTCTTAAGAATCGCACGTCAAAGCTCTTGCACACCACTAGGATCACTGCTAGGATCATTGGGTAATTTGAATGCCCAGAAGTGGAGGAAAAGCAACAAAACCTGGGCACGAGGTTGCCCTGGACTCTGCTGAGGGCTCAGGTCCATCCTGCAGTGAAACGTGGCACCCCTGGGACATCACTTATCTCCCCCCAAGACTATTCTGAGAACTCCCCCTCCTCTGCGTTAAGAGCCTAGAGGCTTTAGGTCAAACAAAGATTCAAGGATGTACTTCACTTTTTCCCTCTGCAGAATTTCTCTCATTACCAAACAGCAGAAAGTTAGAGAGACTAACATGAGAGTTAGTCAAGAACTGGAGAGTTACAATTCTCTTGTTTTTCTCTACCAAGAGTTAGAGAGACTAGTTAGAGAGACTAACAAGAAGGAAGAAGAAAAGGAACGAAGAAGAGAGGCAACATTACCAGGCAGATTGGGTGTGTTTTCAGTTTCGTCCACTGGATCTGAAACAATAAAGCTGAGGTTATAAGAGTTATCTTTATATTACACACCTTTAAAAATTGCTATGGGAATTCTGCTCCAAGAAATGATCAACATAACAACTCATCACGTCTCATTGAATACAGGTCAAACAGGCTCACATTGACAACTGAAGAGATAGCCCAGCTGCTAGCCCTATAAAAATCCAGCTTAGTTTCTGAATCTCACGTGCCATCATGAGCAGTAGATGTTCTGCAGATCAAATTCTGATTTTTCATATTCCTGTATGGGGAATTTTCTTGTCCTTAAGGAGTACACAGTTAATTGCTGTTGATACTCAAAGTCAGGTAACTCTTCTTAAGACTATGCACAAACCTAAAGACACATTTTATTCTTTCATAGCAACATTTATTCTACAGTTCTTGCAGGAGGGAGAACAAATGTTTGTTACTAAATTAAGTAGATCTGACTAAAAAACACTCAGAGCAGATGAGATGAGTGAGGCTCGTTTTTAATATCACTTGGCAGAGCAGAACCATACTTCTTCCATAGCAAGTCTCTTCCATATACTACACACTTAATGCAATACATCTATAGGGTTAGTATCAACTGAGATCAAACAATCTGGCACTTCATATCAACTGAAAAAAAAATCAATTTCTTGCTCTAAAAAGCACAAGGAGGAAAAATTAAGAGGGTTCAGTGTGCAAAAGTGTAACCATGTGTAAAATGTCAGCAATTACACGTGCAAACTGGGTAATGGTGGCAGTAAAGGCTGCCTGGTGGCAAAGAGGGCACATTTTAAGTACATGAAGGGGGGACGAAGGGAGGAAGGGGCCAAGCTCCTCTCAGTGGTGGCCAGTGACAGGGCAAGGGGAAATGGGTATAAGTTTCAACACAGGCAGTTCCACCTCCATGTGAGGAGGAACTTCTTCACTGTGAGGGTGACAGAGCCCTGGAACAGACTGCCCACGGAGGTTGTGGAGTCTCCTTCTCCGGAGGTCTTCAAAACCCGCCTGGATGCCACCCTGTGCCACGTGCTCTGAGTGTCCCTGCTGGAGCAGGAAGGTTGGTTTAGACAATCTCTAGAGGTCCCTTCCAGCCTTAACCATTCTGTGATTTTCACGGGCAACATTCACACATTTCTTAAGTCCTAATTGTTGAAAATGTGACCCTTAAGTTCAAGATATTTTACAGCACACGGGGGCATGCAGGAAGCTGCATTCCAGCTCTGTCTGCTGCCTGTTCCTGTTGGAGGTCTGTGCAGCTCTAGCACGGACAGGGAAGCGGTGGGGAGCGTCTGCCCCGCGCTCACCCTGATGGACGCCTTGTTGCAGTAGACCCGCGTGATGGCCAGCCAGGTGGGCAGCTCCAGCACATTCTGCAGCACCTCTTCGTCCAGCTCCAGGTTCGTCAGCTGCCCCTGCCCTTTCAGCGTGCTCAGGTTGATCTTGTCTGGCGAGAGGTTCTTAGTAAACCTACAAGAGAAGGAAGAAGAGAGAGTCTAACAACAACCCCCAACAAAGCTGCTGAGACTAAAGGAACCTTGGGAGAGTTATTTTAAGGAGAGGAACATAGCAGGTTTGTGCTGCTTTGTGAAACCCTTCCTGATATATTTGAACCCAGGGCATACCCAGGAAAAAAGAAAAAAGAAAAAAAAGCCTGGGGCACTCCGACTCTTGGAAGTCTTTTTAAATCAAATTCAGACCAAAAATCAAAAACCAAAAAAACGAAAACTCCTCCTAAAGCAACAGAAACTTAATCTGGCAGAACAAAAGCAAAGCAAGAAAAAAAGCCACACGCACAAGAGCAAATGGTTTCATCCCCCGACAGGTGCCAGATCAGCAGTAGATGTCCAATTTTCCCAATTCTTTTCAAACTCATTGACATAGGAAAGCGAAGGATCGTTAATGAATCACCTGCACAGCGGTGCGACCTTGCTGAGCACCTCCACACGCGCAAGCGAGCGCCCTCCCTAGCGGCCCAGCTCCCAACCCGGCCCCTCAGCTGCTCCTCTCCATGGCTCTCCGCTTTGCCACTCCCCTTGCCCTGGCTCCCGCGGCTCCCAGGGCTTGAACACAAGGAGGGACGCGGTGCCAGGGCCCCGGGGAAGCAGGACGGGCGGCTCGGGGGGCACCAGGGCCGCGCGTGGGGCCGGCGCCTGCCGGGGCGACGCTGCCCTTCCCGCGCGGCGCCGGGCCGAGCCCCCTGCCCACACCCGTGGCCACTTGCCCTGCTCCTCCCTGCTCATCCTCACGCAGCGCAGCAGCCCAGGCAGAAAAAGGGCCTTTTTGTGCGGCGAGGCAGGACTAGGCCCACGCTTAGTCACACGCTGCCCTTTCCAAAGGCCCCTGCCAACAGGAAGGGCTGGCGAACGAGGCCCCGAGGAGCCGCTGACGCCAGCCCTGCCCCTCGCAGGCAGCAGCTCCCGAGGACGGGGTGACACGGGAGCTGATCAGCAGCCGGAATCGCATCCACCGGGGCCTGGATACGGAGAAGAGCACAAGGGCAGCCTGAGGAGGGGAGGCAAAACGCCCGTGGATCCCGGGGTGGCCGCAGGCAGGGATCAGCTCGTGGGCGGAGAGGCCGGGACCGAACCCTCCCGGTCACACCGGAGCAACGGGCACCGCGGCGCGCGAAAGGGAGGACGGCTTCTCCGCATACGCCCTGAAAAACGAACAGCGCGAAGGAGCCTCTGAAACCAGACACAGCGGGAGAGCGATACGAAACATGACCTACCTGCACCAAATAACTCCTTGTACTGACGTCTAGGGCTGCAGAAATCCTGCTGAACGGGTACGAGACCCAGCCCAAGCACCAGGATCTACCGAAGAACTCCCTGTGGGAGGTATTTTAGTCCCTACCCAAATACACTCGGGGTTCCTGAGCCCTGAAGGGAGGACTGCAGAGCCCAGGGGAGATGGAGCAATAGGAGCTTTGAGAAAATTGTATATATAACACTGCAATGCATTCTCTCCTTCAAATGGCACACTCAACATTCCCCAGCCTAGTCCTATTGCCAGCTCCAGCGCTCTCCATTTCTCCCTCTGTAAAGGGAGCTGAGACCTTCAGGTGGAACCGCCGTCAAAGCTAAGATGTTTTGATAGCAGCAACACAGTTAGCTGGGAGTTACAACAGGGGAACGGATGAAGTGCGTTTGTGATATCAGGAAGTTCACAGATAGCAATTTTTTATCTTTTCATCTTGCAAGAAGCTGCTTTGATGTCTCGGGGAAGGCAAAAGCAGCGAGAGCAGCTGCGATTTTAAGCGTTTTCTTGGCAGTCGCACTCCATTCATACTCATCAACAGCCACATTTTTGGCAGCGCGCATTGCTGGCTTGGAGAAAAGTGAATGAAAATACTTGGTAGCTATTAGGAAAACTATCTGCGTAGGATATTAGCACTTTTTTTCCCCTCTTTTTTCAAAACACTCTTAGAGAAGACAGGGACCATTAAGCCAGCAACCTGGAAGGCTCAAACTCCTCCTGAAGCTGCCAGGATTAACACGACAAAAAGATGAGGCCACCAGCAACACTGTGAGCAGCACTGCAGCTCCTAGAGCACCTGCTGACTAGATGCCAGGCTGCTGCACAATGTGGATCATGAGCATCCACAAAGCATCTCCAAAGAGCCCAAGCCGCCCTCTGTACTCACAGTAAAGGCCGTGGGAAGCCCAAGATTGATGCTCCTAACACTTGCAGCTAGGAAAGTACTGCTCAGTCAAGTATTCTCTCTAATTCTGAGGTCTGTGGAGATGATTTTTCCCTGTGTTCCCTTCTCCACCGCTTCTTTCCATGTTCAATGGCACTAACCTTAAGGATTTCCATCAGCTCTCACGAAACCAGACAGACAGAGTCATTAATAGCACTGTCCTAATTTCTCAGCAGAATGAAGGTCTCTTTCTTTAGGTCTCTAAGGTCTCTAAGAAGCTAACAACACTCACATGATTTATATCTCCTTTAGGCTTGGTCTACAAGAATTGTGTTCTTTATGGAAGCCATCAGCCTTCTTCAGCAGTTTCTGAGATCATGATTTGATCTGTTTTAAAGCCTTGTTTTATTTTTCAGCTGGGGAAAATAAATGAACGTCGACCTATTTGCTCAGTCATCAACTTCAAAAAAACATCAAATGATTTTCCCGCTGCTGCCCAAATCATCAGCTTGTGCATCCAGAGGCCACAAACCCACTGATTGCAGGAGGAAGCTTAGCCAAACCTGACTGCTAGCCCGACGCCAAGCTATAATCATAAATAATAAAGTTATGCTCACATTTGTAGCTGTCTGGCGGCACTGTCTGCAACCAAGCAAGTACATAGACAGAAAACATCAGGAAAAATGTCTGAAATGATAAAACTTCTCCTCAGCTCCCTCCCTCTCCAGCTTGCTGCCATGTGGAACAGGCACTTTGTCCTCAGCAGGTTCACCCATTCAAACCAGATTTGCTGCCTCCACTTCTTTGCCTGCAGATATTCAGTAATCGCAGTCAATTGCACACAGCCAGCACCTGCAGCTGAGCACATTTATCTCCATTAGTCTGTTTGTTACACGGATATTATACACACGGACTGATGAGCAGCACACCAGCGACCCTGATTTTACTTAGTGACAAGACTCATCTATTGGCACAAGCAAACAACTGCCTGACTTACAGTGCAGACAGCAGATGGAAAAAACACTCCAAATGCAATTAAGCCAGGAAGAGGGTAAGTTGTCAGCAGCAACCTGGAGAGAGACAAGCAACACTAAGAGCCACCGGGAAACCCCGGCAGAGCGGGGGTTGCCTTAACAAGGGGAAGAGCGAGGAAGAGATAAGAGCTTGCTTTAATTCGGAGCACAAATAGGTAATTGAAGTAACCACCCAGACTGACAGAAACTGGATGTGGATAAAAACCATATTCTGGTCATTGCAGATTTGGTCTTTACTCAACACCTTCCCCAATGTCTTTCTTGGTTTGGGTTAGGGCAGGCCACGCGATACGAGCTCCATTGTTTCCTTTGGGATGTGCTTCCATAATCTGTTACAGGACATTTCCCTTCATATTAAAAATCCTTATTTCGGGTGCCAAAAATCAGGTGCACTTGGGAAAAAAAAGGTGTGTGGTTGGTAAAAGAAAACATCAGCGACCTCCAACACAGAGAAGCTTTCAAGGAAGACAGCAGCAGAAGCTGAAATACTAAATATATGATGAACTTGGGCAAGTGTCTGAGAATGAACTTAAAAATAATTGTGGAGGAAATAAAACTGGGCAAATGACCAAACTTCTGTAAAAAGGGAAAAATTAGCTGCCTTAAAGACATATAGAAAGGAGAAGTAAAAGCCCTTTTGGGGAAGAAAGGCCAATTTACCATTCAGGGTTTATTACAACCATGGAATAATCTCTCTGGTAGGTACATACAGCACTGCTCAACCCAGAGAGAGATTTGCGGACAAGGAAGAGCAGTACCTGGAATTAGCAGCAGGTTGCACTAATCAAGCCCATCTAACACTCTGCATTAATCTAGTTGGTGTCATACGGGCCTGATTAGTTCAAATCCATTCCCCACTCATAAAGGGAATTCAGGTACTACCAAAGCGATCAATCGCCCAGGAGTTGGAAAGCGCCCGTTTTGCCCACGGGGATTATCTCCGGACAGCACGGCACTGGCGTAACCCCCCCACACTGATAGCTCACAGAGCTCACGGTATTTTCTTAGGGTGGACACAGGTCCCAAGGCGATAAAACAGCTGACCTCGCCCTGCTTCATTATAGAGCCAGCCCCGCACACGGTTGAGCCTCTAACACTGAATTAGCAAGCCTGTTAGGCTTAGTATTTAAGTGCACCGACTGGCCTACACACACACACACACATATATATACATTTTTTTTTTCCCTAAATGGAAAACTGGAATATTGCAGAGGCTCCGGATGCGTTTCTGCCATCATACCCACTGCTCCTTCCGCCCACGGGGAGCTGCGGAGCAAAGCACAAGTCAAGCTGCACAGCAGAGAGGCCTGGTTTTATTTGGCAGGGGCGAAACGCCGCCGCAGCCAGAAACTGCTCTGCTATTTGCAGCCCGTCAGCTGGAAGGCCAGGAAAGTTTAAATGCCAGCGCCCCGTGCTCCGAAACCTGGAATGCGAAGCCTCTCCAGCTGCCAGGGAATTTCCCCAGCTAAACCCCAAGCAAATAGAAACGCACAAGACAGAAAACTAGAGAGAAACGTTTCAGTCCAGCATTTCTAACGCCTTTCTGCAAGCCCCCTCCTTCCTATTTTAAGCCATTATCTGGCTGGCAGTCTGATCTGCAGTTTTATTTCCAACGCATAGAAAATAAAAGGTTATTCCAGAGCTCAGACACAGCCGAGTGGCTGCGGAGGAGGATCTAGGAGACAAGTGGAGAGCTCCAGGAGAAACAGCAGCAGCAGAGACAATGCAGGCCGAACAGCCCCTGCTTGTCTGGCATTTCCCTCCTAGTCTGAAGGGTAACTGAGGGCTATGGAGACCTCAGCAATGCATGAAGATACCTCCATCCACGGGCACACGCAGGAGCCTCCGAGCTCCTGAACCGCGGTTGATTTTTGCTGCAAGAAGCACCAGTTTTGAGTGCCAGAAAGGGGGGCCGCTGCTCCCGCGAGCGCAGTGGAAGCGGTGGGAAGCCCCACGCAGCAGCCCGCGGCGAGGGGCTGGGAGCCGCAGCAACGCCGGCTGCAGGGACGAGCCGTGGGACGGGGAAAGGCTGGGACGCTCCCGCTCCGGCGGCCGCAGGGAAGCAGCGGCTGGTTATTGCTTCACCCCGCCACGGTCTGGGAATCCCTCTCTCCACAAAGGACTGCTCTATATTGAAATAAATACGTGTATTACTGAAATAAATATATATATACACACACACACTCATAGGGTAAATGCAAGCCACAAAACCTACCCAGTAACTCCGAAACAGCAGAGATTAGGTGCCGTTTTCTCACCCAAGGAACCGCTCTGCCTCTTCTCCCCATGTTTCCTGGAGGAGAAGGGACGTGCTGTCCCTTGGGATAACGCAGCTCCCCGGCACTTCAGCTCCGGCCTCTCGGAGAAGCTGAAACAGCAGCACGACCCTCAGCGCAAGAGGCTCTGCCCTGTCTTAGCAGGGCCACGAAAGGATTTGGAGATTCTTCCATCAAAGTTATGAAATAACAGCCCCCACAGGAGCGAGCCTGGCTAGTCACCCGCTGCTGACACCCACGCACTTGTAAATGCTAAATGGATCTACAAGAAACTAAGGATAAATTGCAGGCTGGCCTGATATTCTCCCTTCCATGCTCGCTGCGGTTTTATTTGCCACAGGATTACAGGCAATTGCAAAAGAAACATGGAAAGAGCCAGTGTAACCCTGCCTGGAAAAGGGACTATGCAGCCCAAACAGCTGTGAATTGCAAGGAAAAAAACACCCCACTGTCTTTTGGAGGAGTTTGGGAATGCTACATGATAGCAATGTTGTTTCTTTAGGCTGTGCAGTCAACGTCCATTTACATTACATTTACAAGCATGAACATATTAAATCCTGCACATGCTACTCAACCGTTCTCATTTTCTACTTTTTTTTTCCCCAAAAAGGATGGTTTTGGATAAATAAGATGGGTACCATCTTATTTCTCCCAAAAGCGGCTCCAAAGCCGTGCTGTGAAGGACAGCTCTGGCCCTTCTCTCGTGACCTCGTCTTCCTCTTCCCACCATCTGCGTGGGGGAAGAAGACGACAATTTACAGCCCCGCCGATGAACCCGGCTGCTCAGGCCGGCGCTGCCAGCGATAACCCGGCTTCCGCTCCATCTCAGCCGCTGCGCCCTCCAAAACCGTTACCTTTCATCCAGCACCCTCCAAAAGCAGGGAAAGGAGGAAGCAAACGAAGCAGCCGACAGAAGCTGAATACCAAGCGGCTGCCGCAGGAAACGTTGCTGCGAACATCGTCTTCCAACCCCCCCTTGCAGGTAACGTCCCAAGCGCCGGGAGAAACAGCAGGCAGGAGCCACGCGCTGTGTGATTTGGGAGAAGGCCCCAATTTTGGCCCGTTTGGGAAAAAAACGGCCCCGGAAAGCATCAGACTGTTTTACAAGCACGGCTCCAGCAAAGCCAAACCACCAGCTCCGAATCAGCCCTATTTCTGCTGCACACATCTGCTAGCGGCTGGGCCGGCTGCCCAGACCACGGCCTCGCCATGGCGCATGTCCCTTTGCAAACACCACTAATTTCCCACATTTTTCTTTCCTCAGCCTTTGCTTTCTGCAGCCACAGCACTGACGCTACCACTCACAGACACCTGATGCTCCTTCTCATGCCTATTTATTTCTCCAAGGGGATGAGATTCATGGGATAATCTCCCACGATTATCCCGAGTATTTTCCCCACCCAGATTTTATTCTGTACTTCCAACTGTAAGGAGTTAGTGCTTTTCCTCTAGGAACCACTCAAAGCGCACACTTACAAGGCCTGTTAGGGTGAGATTATAAGGATGCTTCACGAGCTCGCCCATCTTAATGCACGCAAGAAGAGGAAATTGCACAAATCATTTGATAGATCTAGCAGGGGATAAAAGCTTCTTAATGAAATTAAACAAAAATTATTTTCCATAATGATTTCCACAGCACTGCCGAGAGCTCCAGTTCTGATGCACTAAGTGAATCCAGGCAGTCTGGGCACCTTCATAATGCACCCAGATTAAGTATCTCCTATGGCCATACTGAGTATATTAATAAAAAAGGGGATACTTTGAAGCAATAAAAAAAAGAAAAAAAAGAAAGAGCAGAAAGAGGTAAAGGCAAATCACTGTATAATTGCAATATAGACAGTGATTTAAAAAAAAAGTCTGGTTTTATTTTAAACTATTACTAATTCCACGCTGGCAAACACAACCCAAGCGCTGCCGGCGCTGTCGCCTCTCAGGAGGGCCAAACAGACTCGAGTCCAAACACACACGAGCACCGGTGCTTTAGATAGCTCTGACGGAAGGCCCTTTGCTCCAGATATAACTGTTTTATGCTTGGTTATAAACAGGCCCCTGCAGAATTTGCAATCCATGTATTGCAGTCATGTGCCAATGCAGGGGGAAAAAAAAAAAAAAAAAAAAAAAAGGCAAAACCAACTAATCTGTTTTCCAAACTAAAAATAGGGCAAAAGAGGGGAAAGCACAGCTGGTGAAAGCAATTTCAGTTCTCAGATTCTGCTGTTCTAGGCATGAAGCTTTTAAACATAACACAGCTGAGCTCTATGAAAGGCACTCGTAGGTCAGCTCTGGCACCTACAGCAAAACCCAGCTTCAACCACGACATTTGCAGGGATCTGTGCACGCGATTCATTTAACCTGAACAACAGGTTCTGAGCTCCTGGTATGAAATAACTCCTTCCCGTTGTCAGATAAAACAACTCATTCCGTTGTCTTGATCCCGCTGCCTCTCTCATCCCTTTCCTGCAAATGCCCAGACACAGCAGGAACAAAAACACCCCATGCAGAACCAGCTTCAAATGAAGGCATAACAAAAAGAACAAGGAATTAATTCATATGCAAATGCAGAGCAGAAAATAAAGGCGGATTAATGATTCAGTAGCAACATTCTTCCAGGCAAATGAGCATAGCTGAAAAAAGGGAGCATGAAGAGGAGGGAAAGGAAACAAAACTGTGATGTAAAAAGCATCATCCCTTTCTTCATGTTCAAAATACATTAGTGCAAAGTGTTCATAGCACTTATGTAGGGCAGGATCTGCCCCACCAGCCCAGAACACAGAGCACCCCTTGGTCTGGTGGGAGAATGGGGGAAGCTCCAGAACCGCCCCATGACTCCCTGTCCCCACTGCAACTGCCCCAAGACACCGAGAGCTCTAAGAAACAGCCGGATCAGCAAGAAAAAAAGGGGCACTTTGAGCAGGAAAGGAGGCAGGAGTGAACAGCACCATTCAGCAAAGGATTAGGAGGCCCGAAGACATGAAAAGAGCAGGAATCTGGATGGGAATTACACACCAGAAGGGCATCCGCATCCTTTAATCCCAGCAGGAGCAGCACCCAGGAATAGAGCTGAGCTCTCCCTTAGCGAGCACCGTCACCTCCCACTGCCTGTTAGAAAGGCTCTAGTGGCTCCCAAGAGGGCCGGACCCACACCGAACACGGCACGCTGATCCAAGGCGGACCGGACAGAAAGCTCAGAGCTTTGCTACACCACAGCCGGCAGAAATGCACTTAAATTGAAGCACTGAGCTTCAATTTATTAATTAATCAATTAATTAATTCAATCAATGTAGCAGTGGATGATGCTATGCTGCTGTTTTGGCCCAGTGCCTGGAAAGCAACCGGTGACTCAGAAGCGCCGTGCATAGAGCGGGCTGCTCGTTTGAAGTTTGCAAAGAGCCCTCCGTGACTCCAGCAACTCTGGAGATCCACCAGCAGCCCCGCAGCAGCTGGTACAACCCGGCCACGGAGAGGTAGGATTCCCGGCCACGGAGAGGCAGGATCCCCGGCCTCCGATCCCTGGCTCTGCCGCAGACACCAGGTTACTTTCCCCCTTCCCAAGGCCCTTTGAGCCCCTCGCTCCACATCGGGGTTTCTCCTCCGGCGGAGATGAAAAGCCCTGGATGCTCCGCAGCTCGTGGAGAGCAGCAGGGCCCCGGCGCGTCCTCGGAGCGGTGCCGCCCGCCTGTTTGGGCGCCCCGTCGCCATCCTCCAGCAACGCACACGAGCACTTGCCCGTGGCCAGAGGTGGCCACGAAGCAGCAGCTCCGACCGCGGCGCCGCGAGTTGTCCAAGGTCAACCCCCAAGGCAGGAGCGGAGCAGCGGCCAGACCTGCTCCGACCAAACCCCGGGCTCTTCCACCACACGGGCATTCGCGCTGCTAACCAAGTTCACGGGAAAGGGCGAAACATCATTGAATTAACCTAACGGGACGCGGGCGACCCCATGCAGGCCCGTCACCGCATCCCGGCTCCGGCGCGTCCACGCACTCCGTGCCCGTCACCTCCTCCCGTTTTCACCTGGTTTCCCGAGGTTTTAGCCACGCGCAGGAGCTGCGGCTGCCTCAGCCCAGGCCTGCAGCCCCCAGGGCCCCCGGCCCCGTGGGGAGGCCGCGGGACCCCCGGGCTGCTCCCCAGCCCCCAGTTCAGGCCCTACGGCCCCAGCCGGCCCCCCTGCGCCCCTAGAGCCCCCGCCCCACGAACCCCCAGCCCTGGGCTCAGCCCGGAGCCCCCTCCGGCCCCCAGCCCGGCTCGAAGCGCCCCCAGGTCCCAGGCTCCCCTCTACCCCCGCCATGTCCCGAACCCTCGGCCCTTAACTGCCCCCCGCGCCCCCA